AAGGATTACAAACTAGACGTTCATTTTTCTACCTGACTTACATTAGAGGCAATTTTGTAATCGTCAAGGATTTTAGAAGAAAACAAAATCGACGATCAGTTGATCTAGGAGTGTTGACTGACAAACATTTGCAGTACAAGAAGAAGAAAACCGGAAAATTTAAAAAAAAATGGATTTCATTACACATTTTATTGTCCTTTTTTCTTTGGCCGATGCAGGCTATTCTTATATAGAAACACAAGGAAAATCTGTTCTTCATTTAGATTGCTTCTCATCAATGAGGAATATCGTTGAGGTCCTAGTTTACATTGTTTGTGGCCTATATTTGGCAATTTGCATTTTCCAACTGGTGTTTTATATGATTTGGTGGCAAATATTTATTGTGCGAAATGTATATGAAAAATTGAGAGGTGTCCTGAATTCAAGGAAATTTAAAAATTACATAAGGTATTTATTTCCAAATTTCATAAAAAATATATTTTATTTTCATTTTTATTAAAAAAATCATATAATTCTTAATTCCAGATTTTTGGAAGGAAACTTTTGCCCCTTATGAGGATTACTGCTGTTACCGATGGTTTTGAAATGCCTTAATATGTTTCCTTTTTTGGGCCACTTTCAATTTGTTAATTAATTTTTAAATATCCCACATTATTTATAAAGTCAAGCAATCATCTGTTTTTCTTTATTGTCTACTCTTTTGCCTGCTAAAACATATTTTTTCGCGGTTAATGAAAGTCTTTTAAGGCCTCCTGTTTCATGGTATCTTAAGAGTAATTAAAAAATAATAATATAAAAATATACAATCCTAATTGATTTTTCATTCCATGCTGTTCAATTGTTATGTTTTTTGTTTTCATTTTTTGGACATTTTAAGGGAACCATAACCAATTTTTTGTGTTACTTATTTCGTTTGCTACCCTTCCATTGCCCAGCACTGTGTTTTGAAATCGAATTTTGTTTACAATATGCGATTTACATCCTGAATGGGTAACCTGTAAAAATGTGTCTACCAAACGACTATATGATACCCTACACCACCAGGTTAATGATGGAAAATATTTTTTTTTTATTTATCCGACGACACAAGTGTAGTTATGAATCTTTAATTTCTAACTTAAAAAATAATATTCATAATTTTTATATCCAACAATAAATATCCAATTATAAGTTTGATTGGGTCATTTTAAGTTTGATTGGGTAACCCCTCGAAATATTGGTTTCCCACATAGGAAAGTATATATGGATCGTCCTATCTCGCCTCGCTGAGTCGATCTTGCTATGTATGTACGTCCGTTCGTCTGATGTTAATTTCTAATCAAGCTAAAGGTCGCAATTATTGCCAGATCCTCACGAAATTGAAAATGGAGGTGGCGTTAGGGTCAGAATAGAACCCTATTTTCCTGATTTTGCAGTTGCTCTGCATTTTTATGGAGCTACACATAAACGTTTATATTGGGAATTTATGTGAAGTAGATTATTCAAACTATAATTGTGTTTGAATGCGTATTATGGTTTTGGAGCGATTATAATTTGGAATAAGAGGGAACCAATATATGGGAGGTATACCCAAGTCTGAATCGATTCCCACCAAATTTGGCTAGGTATTTGTACCTCTCGTACCAAATAACTACATAAAGTGAAAATGTATGTATCGGGGCATAGATACATATATGGGAACCTAGTTTCGTTTATTTGTTTCAAGGATTAATTCGGTTGAATATGCCAAAATATTATTAATTTGGATTGATTGATTGATTGATTGATTGATTGATTGATTGATATGTTAATAGCATTTATTACTTTTCGTACTTTTTGGTACGTTTTTCAAAAGTCGCGTACAAATATCAAATATAATAGAAAGAGAAAGAGACAAGGACCTACAAACAGACATCGTTAAATCGACTTTGATTTGAATACCCTAAAATATTGGGAGGTATGAGGTTATACGAGGTCTTTACGAAGACGTGGACCTGTATACGCAATTTTTTGTCAATGGCTGCAGTTAAATACGAAGTCTGGTTTTTGAAAATTGAAATAAAATACCGAATATCGGGGGTACCATTGTATACGATGTCGGGGACTTATATAGACAATTCTCTTCCACGGGGTAAAGTACTCAGAATAATTTCCTTCGGGGGTTTTTAAGACACTTGCATTGAAAAATGTGTCAGAATCATCAAAATACCGAATGTCGGAAGGTATTATTATATGGGGGATATACGATATCGTGGATCACTTTCGAACTTTCGGTATAGCTCAGTTTCGAACTTGACCTTCCTATAAACAAAATACTGATCTGTGCAAAATGTTAGCTTCCTATTTTAATTAGTTTTGATTATAGAGTGAGTAAAACAAAGGAACGTATGGATAGGGTTAAATCATAATAGAATTTTACGCTGATCAAGAATATATAGATATACATTGTTAGGCCTAAAATTATTATTCCGATGAGTTACAAACGGAATGACGAACTTAACATACCTATGTATGGTGGAGGGTTTAATAAAAATAGCCATCCAATTCCGCAACACTGTAACTAACCCGAAACCCCTTGTCAAAAATGGGTGGATGGTGAATTTAAAATTAATCACTTTCGTTGGCAGGGGCTTTAGTAGCCGTATTTTCCTGTTTACATTTCCTTCGATATTTTTTAGAGCCGTCAAATGTTCCCCCCTACTTTTTCCTCTTCATGCTATTTTATATTCCATTGGTCATTACGTTCTGAAGTGATTTGTAGGTAAATGTTAACTGGATTCGAAACAAACAACCTCTCAATAAATAAGCCGAGAAGAATACATTTGAAGCACAAGTGCCGGCATGTTTTGTTGTTTGTAATCCTGTCACGTCCTTTCGGTAAACATGGCAAAGCAAGAAACGGTACAATTACATTTCACCTTCTTTTTTCCCACGAACCATGCCAGCGAAGGCAAGCGAGAATAATTTGAATTTTTTCGCGTCTTGCGATTTTGTTTTTCTGGTGTTGGCGTTGGTATCTTTTTTGTTGATGGGAATGGAAAAGATTTGTGGAAAATGTCAATATTGGAATTAATGTGATGTGCTGGCGTATTTGAAAACAATTTGTAAATTTTGTATTTGTTTTCCGGGAATTTTTGCAGAAATGGGTGCAATAATGGAAATTAAGATTTTGGAGGTAATATTGAATTGGTTGCAATGTTGAAAATTTAAAATTTGTTGGTTTTATATGGAAATCCAACATAACTTTAAATGTTTTAATGTATATAAATTTAATATAAGCGTTTGTATAGTTCAAATTTATGAGATTCGAATTGGATCATATCAGTGTGGTTGTCCTTCTAAAAATAAAAAAAAAAATCAACACAATAAAAATTCACTAATTTGAAAGTAATTGTTTTCTATGAATGTCATACTGATAATATATCGGAATGTTTTTATTCCCAAACCACAAGCTACTGATTTTTACAATTATGGTTGAATGCATTATTTCGTTAATTTTTTGTATTTCTTTTTGTTCATTTTACTTCTATGTGGTATAAATTATGGTTTTATTTTTTATACCCTCAACCATAGTATGAAGGGTATATTAAGTTTGTCATTTCGTTTGTAACACCTCGAAATATACATTTTAGACCCCACAAAGTATATATATTCTTCATCATAAAAATATATGTCGATTTAGCGATGACCGTCGGTGGGTCCGTCTATCCGTCTGTGGAAATCACTCTAGCTTCCGAACGAATTGAAGTAGATTGATAAAATTTTACTCAATTGTATATTATGCCTGCAAGACTTTTGGTATTGAAAATAGGAAAATGGAATGTAGGTCCACGTCTTCGCAAAGCCTCCATATAACGGTACCTCCCGATATTCGATAATTTGATGATTTCAGCGACATTATTCACCGGAATTGTTTCCAATTTGGTATTTGAAGTTCGAAATGGAAACTACAACGTAAGACAGAAACTTGTCTGTGCAGGTCCACGTTTTTATATTGAACGGCATTGTTACAAATTTGGTATTTGAAGTTCGTAATGAATACTACAGCCTGAAACAAAAAATTGTCTGTGCAGGTCAACGTCTTTGAATAGCCTTCATATAACGGTACCCCCCGATATTCGGTATTTTGATGATTTTAGAGCCATTATTCACCGCACGTCTTTTTATAGCCCCCTTATAACAGTATCTTCCCATATTCGGAACTTTTATAATTTTAGCGACATTATTTACCGGAATTGTTTCAAATTTACTATATGAAGTTCGTAATGGATATTACAGCCTATGACAGGAAAGTGTCTGTACAAGTCCACATTTTGGTATAGCTCCCATATATTAGTACCTTCCTATATTGTTGATTTTCTCTACATTATTCGCCGACCTTTTTTCAAGTTTCGCAGTTGAATATTGTAATGGCTTATGACAAAAGTTGCCTATGCTGGTCCACGTCGTCGATATAAGACCCTAATATGAGGGCTACATTTGGTATTTTTAAGATTTTAACAGAATTTTTGACGGATTTTTTTTTGTGAAAATAGCCAAATTCGTTCCAAATGGTGGAGGGTATTAAAAGTTCGGCCCGGCCGATCTTACAGCTTTTTTACTTGTTTTAAACAAAAAACAAGAATATTTACATCACGAAAACCCAAATAAAATAATATTTTCAATACAATAGGATTAAATTACTACATGCAGTTTCTTGCATGCATTGCCTGAAATCTCCGCCACTATAACCAATTGAAATTTATGGCTGATGAAAATAAATCGCAACAAAAAAATAATAATTTTATATTTTTCCCTCCAATTGAAATAGGTAATAATTTTTGTTGGTGTTCCAGTTTTTCGATGATTAATATCGGCAACCAAATAAATTTAAATTGCATAAATAAATATTTCCAATGAAACCAATGCAGATGTACACAACAGGACACACATACATACACATAAATAAAATATCACATCATCATGCTCAGCAGCGGTAGCATAATTCCCATGACAAACTTAAATGTGGAAAAAAATAAAAATCCATAAAAACATATATTTAATTTCATATAATTTTTTCTACATACAACATTATTTTATTGTGGTTATTTATAAATAAATAAATAAATAGGAACAAAATTATTAATTTATAGCTGTACAATATGACTACTTAAAAAAAAAACTAGATTTTTAGGCCACTGCCGGCCGGTCGCCATTATTTCAAACTGTCTCCTCTTTAATGGCCTCAATGAAATGCGCGATTTGTCGTCGTGTTGTTAATTTCCAGGACACACATGCCACCGATGATATAAAGAATCCAATGCCTGCAAAAAAAGCAACGGGAATTAAAATCAGAGAAAAAATTAAATCTCGTTTAATTTAATTTGCTTTAAAAACACAGACTTTTTTTAAGGTCGGAATTTGTTTTTGTTATTATCTTAAATAAACATATGACAATATTGAACACATGTGTAAATAAGATTATTTGTATTTAACTATTAAACGCTACAAATATCTGCTGATTTTTTTTTTTTCATTTGGCTAGTGGGGTTTCGTTGTCACAACTTTAAAACATTCTCTCATTTACATAAAAAGTGACACATCTCAACAAAATTATGAAACAAATAACAAAATTCTTATCAATTGAAATTTATTACAGAAAAAGAAATATAAATACCTATAAACCTGACAATGTTTGGCCTAAGAACCCGTACAAATTAGTACTATCAAGTCTCCCTGGAGTTTTGCACATCCCAGACTGGATATTGCACAGCGAAATTATAAACAACAAGTAAGCAAAGGCTATGGTCGTGCGAGGCCGACCATGTGATACTCTATAACACTACAATATGTTAGAAGCACCCATATGTCCAAAACCATTTTGGAAGACTACACTTTTGAAATTATCTCATAGAGCATAACCCAGATATTACCCTTTGCTTTTTGTCCAGGATCATTTGCCAATATTTACGCACTCCGTCTGTTGTTAGTTGTTGTGGTCTATTTTATTGCTAAGTATAATCCAAGGGTCGTCCAAAATGCTAGACTTCTTCCTTGTCCATTTTCTCAGCAATCTCTCATCTTAACCATCTCTCTTCCGTGCCGAATGGTTTCAAGTGTGTTCAGGAAAATTTTTCTGTTTTTGGTTCATTTGAGTCCATAAGTATTTTGCGATAAATTTAGACTAATGTTCTCTACGATACTTGGCTATATTCCTCAACGAAAACAGCATAAAAAGCCAGAAGTTCGCTTTTTGTGTATTTTGGATTTCGCCTGTAAGTTATTTTCAGTGTTTCGGTAGAATGGAAATGTTGGTATTTTTTCACACAAAATTAGTGGTTCATTCAACCCGCTGCCCTAAACTCTAACTTCATGCGAGATTTCGTGTACTGCGTACTTTGGTTTCTATTTGTGACCTTTATAACGGCTGCAAAATCAGGAACATTTTTAGTTGTTGGTCCATTTTAACCCCTAAATACTATGCGATCATCTTTAAAAGCAATAGGGTTCTATTCTGACCATAACCCCACCTACATTTTCAATTTCGTGAGAATCGGGCCATAATTGGGACCTGTAGAGTGATTACAAATTAATATGGACAGACGGACAGACGGACGGACGGACATACATAGCTAGATCGACTCAGCTCGTCGAGATAGGAAGATCCATATATACTTTCCTATGTGGAAAAATCAATATTTCGAGGTGTTACATAATTTTTGGCCCAATCAAACTTATAATACCCCCAACACATAGTGTTGTAGGGTATAATTATTATCAATTGAAACAGAAAAAGAAATATAAATACCTATAAACCCGACAATGATTGGCCTAAGAAGCCGTACAAATTAGTACTATCAAGTCTCCTTGGAGTTTTGCACAGCCCAGACTGGATATTGCACAGCGAAATTATAATCAAAAATGCAGAGAATTGGAAAAAAGTTAAAAAATGTTCAGATATAAACAAAGTTTTTTTATTAACAAAAATTGAGGATATTTTTATAGCACATATTTCTTTTGTTCAGTGGCTCATAATAAATTTGATCTAGAATAATTCTATCTTTTGACATTTCCCCCATAAATGTGAAATATAAAGAAAGATTTTATCTTGGACAGGAACGTGCTAAACTAACAGTAAAACCAGTAAAGAAATGGCAAAATTCGGGCGGGGCCGACTTAATGATACATTACAACACTTTGCATATGTAGTAGAGCTACCCATGAGAAATACAAGGTGTTATGCAAAATTTATGGGAATATCAATATATGGACTATGATGCGTATTATGACTTTAAAGCAGTTAAACTTTCAAACTTCCTCGATTCGATTTTTACTAAATTTGACGGAGAAATTTGTGTCTGAAACGATATTTGTCAATATCCATCTATTTGAGATGATTTTACACTTTTTAGGCACAATAAACGTGAAATCGAATGAAGATATATATGGAAGCTATATCCAAATCTTAACCGATCTCTATAAAATTTGGCACCGGTATTTCTATACTGCATCTGATAGCTGGCATCATGGGACCCATATCTACATCTTAATCGATTTCCACCGAATTTGACATACTAAGTTTTTAGGCCCAATTCGGTCGTATGTGCCAAATTTCATCCGATTTAAACTAATATTACAAATTTGGTGCACAATAAACTTGAAATCGAGTAATGATATATATGGGAGATATACCTAAATCTGAACCGATCTCTTTAACATTTGTCGAAGTTATTTCTGAGCAGTCTTTGATATATTTCCCGGAATATCGTTTTACGGAGTGCATATTACCGCTGTGGAGGACAAATTTAACAAATCGCATGAATATATATATATATATCTATATATTCAGCAAAGGCTATGGTCGTGTGGGGCCGACCATGCGATACTCTACAACACTATAATAAGTTAAAAGATCGCTAATGTGCAAATACATTTAAGAAGATTTCGTTTTTGAAATGATGTCAGAGAGCCATACCCCTAGTTTTTTGACCAGAATATTTACGCACTTCGTCGTGTTGTTAGGTATTCCAAACAATTTCACACGAATATTGTGGTCCATTTTACAGATAAATATAATCTAATGGTCATCCAAAATGCTAGACTTCTTCCATGTACTTAACTCTCTTCTCATTTCAAATTCCGTGTCGATTGGTTTTTAGTTGTGACCTGTAGAGCGACTGCAAAATTAGTCCATTTAATTTATTAGTCCATTTGAACCCCTAAATGTACATCTTAAAACACAATAGGTTTTAGTACTGACCCCAACCCCATGCTAAATTTCGTGAGCATCGTACGATAATTGCGTTCTGTATTTAATACCCTCAAAACATAGCGTTGCAGGGTGTAGAAAAACTTTGGAAAATGTGCAATTCAAATTTGTAAATCAAACTGAAAATAATAGGATGCGATAAAAAATATGGCAAAATTAAGAAAAAAAAATAACCAAAAAATATTTTTTTTTTTAGATTCTCAGGGTTTTTTTAGATTTTATTCTTTTCGGGCTAGAGACAATTTCGATTTGTGAAAATCGGCACAGCGGATCTTGACTTAAAAGCAGAATAAATAAGATCTATTCCTTTAACATATAATTATACCTAGTTTGCTATAAATCCGATATCTTGGATATCAGTATCAGAAGTTACACTTGAATATCTTTGTGATTTCGCCGGGATTAAAAATATTCGCGGTTTAGTGGAAATTTTCGTTTTTTTCTTACATAAAAGTTAGGCTCTATTTTAACCGCTAAATATTGTCCGATGGCCGCCCATATTGGTAGGCTTCTCTGCTCACCAATAAACTCAAACTCCATGCTTAATTTCGATGCGATTAGTTTATAATTGTGACCTACAGAGCAAAAGCTAAATCAGAAAATTTTTCTGTTTTTGGTCCATTTCAATCCCTAAATATTTGCGATCATCTCCAAAAATAGGGTTTTATTCTGACTCTAACCCACCTCCATTTTCAATTTTGTGAGGATCAGACCATAATTGCGACCTATAGCGTAATTACAAATTAACCCAAAAACACTATGTGTTGGGGGTTTTATAAATTTGATTGGGCTAAAAATTATATAACACCTCTAAATATTGATTCCCGACATTTGAAACTATACATGAATCTTCCTATATCGCCGAGCTGAGTCGATCTAGATATGTATGTCCCTCCGTCCGTCCAAAATGGATTTGGACATAAGGGGGCTTCCAACATATGTAGTGCAAAGTAAAACAGTTTTTACTGTCGAATTCCATAATTATTTTAGCAACAATACGGATTCTTTACCACTGTATGGTATCGTATTTCAAAAGATCTACTAAGATAATTCTTTAATTTTAATTTTTGTTTCCATTATGAAAATATGACTGAAAATGAATGAAAAAATTGTGATATATCTCAATTTTTTTTCATTTGTTTCCGTTCTACTCATCCAATTCAATGGAATGATTAAAACATTCTCAAATATTTTATGGTAAATATTTTAATCCTTTATTCGTTTACTTACCTATTAACAAAATTGCTTCCGATGTCTCATCCTGTATTGTCTTCGAGACTAAACACAACAGGAACAGGCCACTTAACAGACAAAAGGAACCGATGACAACGGCAATTGTGATAAATATCAATATGGGATCCTTGAGAGCATCGTTGAGAAATGAAGAACACAAGGGTTTGGGAGGAGCACCACTGTAATATAAATTACACAAATATATTAATTCACTTATATTATTTCAAAATATTCTTTTAATTTAATAAAACATTTATTTATCGTTTTTCAATGGAAAATTCTCTCTTAAGAATTTAGTTTTCCAAAATCACACAATTACACACCACGACTGATCATATGTTGGCAGAGTACAATCGACACGTCTTACTTCCATGATGAGTTCTTCAAAACTAATGCTCTCGAAGAGTTCCTCCGTTACATGGAAGTGATGTTTGTTTGCTCAGAGCTCGTGCTGTAATTTGTTTATAGCACTGGCGCTATTTTTAAATTGCTACAAATGGGAGGTGCGGCATATTGCATACATCGACTAGTTGGTGTTTGAAGTAAGATAGGAGTACAATGAACTTGGAAATCGAAATTCCAATTGGAAAAAATTGGTGGGGAGGAAAGTACACAACTACGGTGTGTTGGGGGTATTACAACCCTAATTGGGGCAACAATTATGTAACACCTAGAAATATTGGTCCCCGACATAAGAGCTATATATTAATCTTCCCATCTCACCGAGCTGGCAATATAAAGGGTCAGATAAAAAAAAACTGCAACAAAGTCAAACGCCATAATTTTTACATTTTTTTTTTAATTTTGTTCAATGAAAGCAAAAAATGTCGGAAATATCATAGAATTTAAGAATAAGTTTAGATTTGTTCGAATTGGTCACCTTTGGCACCAATTATGGCCTTCAAACGGCCAATGAAACCGTCACACTCTGCCCGAATATTGCTCTGCGAAACGCTTGCTTGAGGAGATCGACACTTTGGTATTTTTTAGTGTTAACCGTGCTTTTCAAAACACTCCAGACACGATAGTCCAATTTTGTTCAATGAAAGCAAAATATGTCGGAAATATCATCGAATTTTAGAATAAGTTTAGATTTGTTCTATTTGGTCACCAAACGGCCAATGAAACCGTCACAAGCTGCCCGAATGTTGCTCTGCGGTATTTTGACCCATTCCCGGCGAAACGCTTGCTTGAGGAGATCGTGCTTTTCAAAACCCTCCGGACACAATATTCCAACGGATTTGCATCCGGAGATTTTGTTAGCCATTGTGCGCTGGAAATGAAGCGAGGAACCTAATTTTGTGACAATTCTTGGGTGGCGCGTGCTGAGTGCAATGGTGCTTAGTCCTGTTGGAATGTCCAAGTTCTGCGGCCAAAATGTTTGCGTGCCCAAGACTCCAATACACCCTCCAAAATATTTTCGCGATAATATTCGCCATTTTTTCTAATGCCACGGTCGATTAATACGAGCGGAGCTTGAATTCTGGTGGCCAACCGAAGGTGCATATTTTCGGCTGACCTCTTTGGCAAGTAAACACGATCATTTTGCTTGTTTACAAACTGCGGGACAACGAATATTTTCTTATCGGAGAAAACCAAATTCGGCAGTTCAGCACTTTCGGCCAAGCGAAGCAACTCTTTAGTTCTTTTGAGTCTATTTTTTTCTGTTGCGGTGTAAGTTCTTGCACTTTTTGGAATTTCAATAGCTTTACCCCGAGCTCAATTTTCAATATTTGTCAAATGGAATCAGCGATATGTTCAGCTCATGAGCCATTTTTCGGCTACTGCGACGCGGGTTTCGATCAAGTCGCTTCTTTACTTTTCGAACCATTTCTGCTGATGTTGCTGTCGGGCTACGCTACAAGTATCACGGTAACGAGCGATGGTACGAGACACAAAAGAGTTATTCACATTTAAATGCTGGAGTGCTCTAACGATAGCCACTTGTGTTTCTCCAGTCAAATATAAAGACATCAGAATATCACGCTTGAATTCCATCACGGATAATTTTTTTGTGGAAAATTCTCAGCAAAATGACATTGAAATAATTTCACTGAAATAATTTTACCAGCTGTCGGACGATTGGCTTAGAAAGCTGGTTGCAGTTTTTTCATCTCCCCTGATTTTGAAGTTAAAAGTATAAAGTTTGGTCCTCGAATACACATTTTTATATCCTCCACCGTACTATGGAGGGTATATTAATTTTGTCATTCCGTTTGTAACTCCTCGAAATACTCATGTCAGACCCAACAATGTATATATACTCTTGATAAGCGTAAAATTCTAAGACGATTTAGCCATGTCCGTCTGTCTGTCTGTCTATTCGGTATTTTGAGGATTTTAGCGACATTATTCACCGGAATTGTTTCAAATTTGGTGTTTGGATACTACAGCCTATGGCAGAAAATTGTCTATGCAGATTCAGGTCTTCATATAGGCCCCATATATCAGTACCTTCTTATATTCGGTATTTTGAGGATTTTAGCGACATTATTCACCAGAATTGTTTCAAATTACGTATTTAGAGTTCGTAATGGGAACTACAGTCTGCGACAGAAAATTGTCTATGCAGTTGCAGGTCTTCGTATAGGCCCCATATATCAGTACCTCCCTATATTCGGTATTTAAACGAGTTTAAGTACAATACCCACCGAAATTGTTTGAGATGTCGTATTTGAAGTTCGTAATGGATGCTACAGCCTGTGACAGAAAATTGTCTATGCTGGTTCTGGTCTTCGCACAGCTCCGATATAATGGTACCTCCCTATATACGATATTTTGATGATTTTAGCTATATTATTCACCGTTCAAAAAACGAATTTGAATATGGTAATGGCTTATGAATATGTAGGTGCACGTCGTACAGGCCCTAATATAACGGCTATATTCGGTATTTTTCAAATGTTAACAGAATTTTTGGCGGATGTTATCTTCTTCGAAAATTTTCAAATTCGTTCTAAATGGCGGAGGGCATTCAAAGTTCGGTTCGGCCGAATTTACTGCTTTTTTACTTGTTTATTACTGAATATTCCATAGTGCGTGAGGTAGCGTACAACTGCAACATTAGAATATTCATCTCAACATTATATTGTGATGACACTGATTTCTAAAAATATCACACCGCCGATCGTCACGCACAAACACGACGGACGTGCATACATTTTTACCAGACAGTTTTATTGCACACAAAAAAGGGAGAAGAAATTGTATTTTTGGAATACTCCACCTATTTGGTGCCCTAAAGAGTCGCGTGCCATACATAAAATATATTTCAATGTGGTAAAATGTTTTTCCCTTCCCTCCCTTAATTTACCATATGTTGCTGCTGCAATGACGATCTTATGAGATCTTCAATGGGAGAAATTCTTCTTATTAGAGCCTGCTACATGTATACATATATGTATTCAATGTGAAATTCATAAAAGAATTTATATTGCATCTGCATATGTGTACATGGGAGTTTCGGTCCTAAAAGATTCCCATTAAAAAAACGGTCTAGCTGAAAGAAAAAGGAAGTGCTGTGTGCGAGCGCCTCTGTGTTGCATTAAAACGGAACTAAGTTATGAAAACATCTTCAAAATCTATATTTAGTGAAACACACACGCAGTCGGAACAACAACAACAACTTTTAAAAATTGTGCTTGTGGCATATGGTTTATGGATTTTGTTCGCACCACATTGTGATGGAGTGCAACAGATGATGATATTGGAAAACATAAAACAGATCATTGATTTTCATTGGGGGTGGGTTTTCTTCTTATAGGGAAGTAGGAAAATCGATTTTGTTTAGATAAGACATTTTTTCCGTTAAAGAAAGAGAAAGGGCAATAAACTTTGTGTGCTGGAGTAACAATAATAGAATCTCTTACAAGAAAACTTATAATACCCTCAACACATAGTCTTGTAAATCCATAGAAATATGTATGATGATGATTTTTTATACCCTACAACACTATGTGTTGGGGGTATTATAAGTTTGATTGGGCCAACAATTATGTAACACCTCGAAATATTGGTTTCCCACATAGGAAAGTATATATGGATCTTCCTATCTCTCCGAGCTGAGTCGATCTAGCTATGTATGTCCGTCCGTCCGTCTGTCCGTCTGTCCATGTTAATTTGTAATCACTCTACAAGTCGCTATTATAGCCCGATCCTCACGAAATTGAAAATGGATATGGTGTTATGGTCAGAACAGAACCCTATCGCCTTTAGAGATGATCGCATAATATTTAGGGGTTGAAATGGACCAACAACTGAAAAATTTCCTGATTTTGCAGTTGCTCTACAGGTCGCAATTATGGACCTATCGGAAGTTTGCATGGGGCTAGAGCTTAGAGGTGGCTAGAAGTCTTCCAATTTTGACGGTCATCGGGTAATATTTAGTGGGTGAAATAGACCATAACATTTGTGTGAAATAAATGTCAAAATTCCCATTAAACCGCGAATATTTTTAATCCCGACGAAATCAGACGAACAGGTCAATTCTGACCATTATGCCGATGCCGATAATAAATATATCGGGTATGTACAGCGCAACACATACAATGTGTATGCATGATTTCGTTGACGAATATAACCAAATATCGTAGACAAGCAAATCATATAGATGAGTCTAAATTTAGAGATACAGAGGGGCCTCTAGCTTTTGGAGATGATTGCAAAATATTTAGGGCACAACTACACCTCTCAGTTCTTAGCCCAAATTGTATTTTTTATAAAATCCATCAAGTTTCATCAAACAATAAAATTCAAACAAAAAAAAAAAAAAATGTATGACAATTAAAAAAGTTTTTAAAAATTCAGGAGAGCCCGAAAAAATATTTTCGAGTACAAAAAAAATTTAAAGGGCTCTGTATGACTATCAATAATATCCGAATCCGGTAAATGTATTATTGAGAGGTCCCCTACAGGTTCTTAATAATAGCCAAATAACGCGTAACAACCGTATTATGGTACTCAAAAATATTTTCTGGAAAAAAAATTAAAAAAATAACATTAACAAAAAAAAAAAAAAAAAACAGTTAACAAGGCAAAACTCAAAAAAAAAAAAATAATAAAATTTAATATTCCTTGTGGTTCTTGAAAAATATTTGTACACAAATACCTTTCAAAAGACCACATAATAATTGCTTTGAAGAAGATAATTGCTTTCAGAATATCAATGATAAAGAATCTATGTGACCCTAAAAAAAAAACAATAAAGATGTCGAATATTTTTTAAGAAGAAGTGCACGTATAAAAAATATCTTCCAATGTATTTTCTAAAAAACCGTGTTGTCGTGGCTTCTAGAAAATGAAAATATCAAAAACAATACACTGTATCATTTTTTAAGGACTTCCAAAAATCCATTATAACTTTAGTGTTTTTAGACCAACATACATGTTTCTAAAAAATCCACTC